AGGAATGCAGCAGAGATCTGCTTCACGCTGGTGGTACCTTTCTATGACTGTGCAGATAAGTGAAAGGGAAAGCTGTGGGGCAGAGCTGTTTGCAGTTAGTACTGGGGGTGGATCGCTGATGTTCCTTTCTGCTGATTCAAGCTTATTTTAGCAGTAATCTCTTCCCCTGACACAGTAAGAGCACAGCAGCCTTGCCTTCCTATCTGTACAATCTAGAATTTCCCTCTTTGTGAGTCTCAGCTCTATTTTCTTTCCCCTTCAGGGAGAATTTGGATGGACAATGTCCACTGTACTGGCAAGGAGACCACCCTGGCAGCATGCACTTCCAACGGCTGGGGAGTGACCGACTGCAAACACACCGAAGACGTGGGAGTAGTCTGCAGTGAAAAGCGAATCCCTGGCTTCAAGTTTGACAACTCATTGCTTAACCAAATAGAGGTAAACATACTTAAAATTACAAGCTGCTGATCAAGAGCCTTCTGCGGACAGGGATGTCTGCCATGATGCAGTATAGGTTATCCCAGCTGCATGCTGGGAGAAAAGCGAACTCAGTGCTTAGATGCTGTCTAAAGGTGCAACTTTCAGATCTTAGTTTCAGCTGTTCAGAGCGTTACAATAACAATTTGAAAGGGTTTTTTTCTAGCATGAGAATGAGGAGAAAATACATTACTCCTGTCCCGCAATCACCTTTCTGAACTGAATAGTGGTTTATTATACTTCTCAATTAATCTAAAGGATGAATTTAGAGACTGAATGTGCTGGACACCTAGACCTTACACCTGGGTGACTTTGTTGGTTCATAGTATTCAATTACTGTGTTTTCTTTCCCCTGTCCCCTCCCTTTTGGTCTTGGGGGCAGTTTGGCGGTCTCTGGTAGGACAAGCGGGGTCAGCGGGTAGGCTTAGGTTTGGAGGTGAACAGGGCTCACAGCCGTGGCATGAAATGGGTGGATTTCTAAGGGAAGATATAACGAGTTTGGCTAAGCAATGACGGACTAACCATGATAACTGCATGGAAATATTTGTGGGAATGTGGGATTAGTACTGGAAGTGATGAAAGGAACAGAAGAGAGGAAAATGTGGGCTGGTCACTGGGGGAAAGGCTCTGGGTTGTGACTGGGTCAGGCTGAGGCTCGGTGGGGAATGGCAGAAGCAAAATGCTTGAATCACTGTCGGGGGGACTTGTTAGATTTCTTCAGAAAGGAGCTGGGGGAATGCTGGGCTGGAAAGGAGTTGGGCTGAGCTCTTCAAGGAATACAAAAAAAAAGTGGGGTTTTTTTCCTTCAGCTTTTCAGGTTGGAAAGTATTTGTGGTGACTTGGCTAACACCTCCCTTGTTTCGGATGCTCCGGTGGCTCAGTATGCGAATGCAGTGGTTGCCCCTGGACAAAATTTGTTGACACAACCTATCCCTTAACCACAGACAAATCTTATTTTAAGCAAACAGGGAACCCAGGCTGTATCACATACCGCAGTGTGGTTTCCATGGCTGAACCTTGGCTTTGTTCATGATGTGAAACAGCAGATACAGCCTTCTTTATGACTTTAAACCAGAATCGTTCTAGCAGTTACTTCATAGCCTGACATGATTACTGATTTAGAAAGGGTCTCCCAGCATTTCCTTCTACCAGATTGTCCCATTGGAGGTTAATGCAATGCAGCAAACTTGACAGGGGAAGATAACACGCTCAGTCAAACCCCTCACTGCCCCGCTGAGGCCTTAGGAATACGCTGTATGGGTGAGCTGGCAGCATTCAGCACTCCCATGGAAGGCTCCTGTGCAAGGGTGCAGGTATGGGATGTGAGAACTGAAATTCCTTGCCTTGCCTTGACCTTGCTTCACTTGGCTATGGAGGGAAAGGAGGCTTTCCGCAGGGATCCCAAGGTGCCTCTGTCAAAGGCACCGTTGTTTCTTGGGGAATGAGGCAAGATCATGGAACATCAGTGATGGATTTGGCAGGCGAGAGCTTCCCCAAAGCCACAGTGAATCCTCAAAACAGAAGCCTGGAAGAAAAGATGTTTTAGTCTAGACAGAGGTCGCTTCACTCTGAGATGCTTCAGATATTAATCATAAAAGCTTTGGAGGGCTCTGCTTTTCCATTAGCTAAGCACTGGAGGTTGACTAATGAGTTGAGCACATGGGGTAATTGAGGGCTGGCTTGTGCTGATGCTGTGGGGGTGCTTAAGCTTCACATGTGATAAGTAAAATGAATCATGAGCTTGAAGCAGTTCACGTAGCAGAATCCTGACTCACCAACAGGATCACTCAGGAGAAGTAGGTGTCAGAGAAGTCATATTCTCCATCTCTGGGCAGCTCTTGGGAGCTATGTATGGATGAAGGCACCCCCTGACGTGACAAGTAACAGCATTCAAGCAATTCCTGCCTGAATTTCATGAACCACGTGGTACCACACTGCTCTGCTCTGCAACACCACGCTGGTTTGTCGTATGTCCTTGTAAGACCACTGGCAGCTGAAGGGTTCCTGCTGGTTCCTTTGCAGCAGGATTAAGGCTGCTTAAAGGTGGTGTGCTGTAAATTTTTTAAATGCCATCGTGGAATTACTTTTCAGTCACAGCTAGCTGTCAAATGTTTTCTTTCCCCCTCTCTCAGCTTTCCTCTTCTTAATCTTTGCTTTATCTTGTTAGCAGCTGGCGTGACATAGCTGGAGTCAGAGACGATGAGCAGGGTTACTCATCGGGTCATCAACTCCAAAGTGGGGGAGGGAAAAGGCTGGTGTGAATGCAAGCTGAAATACTTTGCCCTCTCTGACATGCCTGGGAATTCTGCATATCATACCTCACATTCACCAGAGGAAACGTCATGGGTTTGTAAGCTGCTGGGTTCTTTAGTTTCTAGCCCACAGCTTGCCCCAGTGATGTTTTCTCATTGGAATGGGATCAGGGGTTGAGGGACTTGGAATTTTTTACTGAGCAGCGATGCTGTGGGCCCGGGTTCTCCACCAGTCCCGCTGGCTTCAGCGGACAGAGCTAAACCAGTACAGACTTCCACAGAAGATATTTCAGTTTACCCTGAAGCTGCTTTTAAACCCAGGCTTGACTCAAAACAGGCTTGGTTTGAGATGATGCGCAGAGCTTAGGTATTCAACTGCACCTTCCAGTGTTGCTTTCCCACAGTACGTAGTAACAATTGTCGTGATTCCCAGACAGATCTGCCTGCAAACTGGGGTTTTCCGAGCCAGCAGATGAAGCGGAGCAGGCGCTGGCATCAGCACGTGCTCCTGTGCTGGGGTGTACGCTGCGGGGGGCAGGCGGAGCGGGTTTGTTCCCCTTTTTCCTTGGGAAGGGAAGCTGTCTTGGCCTGGGGAACCCCTCACATGTAGAGCTCCCTTGCCTGTGGTAGGGAGCTCTGCGTGTTCCCACTGCCAGGGACAGATGGACCATCTTAAAGTCGTCGTTTAGAAAGTGTCTTAAAGACCTTTCAGTGCGAAGCTCTCTGGGGCTGCCAAGTGCTGCTGAAGATTTAAGGGGGAAATCCAGCAGTGTAAGACAACATCTGACTTCGTGTTGAAGGGGCTCCAGCTCAGAGGGGCTGTGCAAACTGACATTTGCTCAAATCTGGCCTTGCTTCTTAAAATCTGACAGGCAGAGTTCACACTCTTCTAAAGGCAGCATGATAGCCTCGAGCAGAGTTTATTTTTATTGGACAACATACATACTTCCATGTCCCAGTTTGGAAGTGCTGCAGATAAGTAGTATAGGATGAAATTTTCCATCACCATAAACCACTTGGCTTATGTATATATGCTCAGACAGATCTTTTCCCATCACAGCTCATATTTGGAGGGTTACGTCATATCTCTTCCTGCCCCTGAGCCTTTCCATTCCCTGCCTTGTTGGGAAGGGGCAGGGCCTGACCCTCGCTTCTGTACAAGTTGCCGGTCGCAGACCCAAGTGAAACGTTCAAGGGTGAGTGATGGAAGATCTGCGATAAGACGAAGGGAGACAGGCAGGAAGAAGTGAATTCGTCTAGCAGGACCGAGGTTGGGGCAGGTCTGAAATCCCTCAGTCCCTTGCTGACGGGCAGAGAAACTCCTGTCCTTTTTTCTTGCTGTTTTCCACAGCTTTTAGCCTCGGGACTTGTTCAAAGGTTTATTTTTTGGAGGGTGATGAATGCGCGTAGCAGGACAGCCCTTTCGTGGGCTGCCGGCTGGTTGGAATTAGCCTGACACCCCAGAGCTCAGTGGCTGTGTAAACACTGGAGGCTGCTCACCTTTTCAAAGCGAGGAGAGCAGCATTTGCTGACGTGAGCGTAATGGCATTGACTGCATTTACACAGGGGCTTCTCCCCCTCCTCTTTAAGGCGTGCAGACTGAATACGCAGACAGTGTCTCATTAATGGAGGGAACAGGGCTTGTGGCTTGACCTTGTCTGTTCGTACCTGCTTGCCTCTGGGAACAGTAGGAGGGGAAAGGCAGGTACCGGTACCGCATCCTCTCTCCCCTCCTGCAGGCTCCAGCTCTGAGAGTAACCCTCACACCCTGAAAGGGTTAAAACCAAAAAAAAGCAGTTTTGCTTGGCAGTGCTGCAGGAGTGGCTGAGCATGTCTTAACCAAGTAATTGTGAGTGAATGTAGAGGCAGTGGATTGGTAACAGGAGGTTGATGCTGGACATGCTTGCTGTGACCCTCCGTGGACAAAGTTGTTGCTAAAATAACACTTGTTTAATTGGATTTAGCTTGCATTCCTTCGTTTTTAGGCACAGCGTAGCCTGGAGCAAAAGCTCTGTTTGCCATGCTCTAATTCACATCCGTGACTTGATGTCCAACTTGGGTCTAACCACGATGGCAGAGCACACACCCGCTTTATTCGTAACGGTGATCCTTTAGGCATGGCCGTGTGGCGGGCACGTTGTGAGCGAGCCGAAAGGACAAGATGATTTTAACCATGTTGGTTTGAAGTGCTCGAAGCATGTCTGAGAACACAGAACTGCTTGCTGACTCTGATGGAGTCGTGACCAAGTCAAGGTATGAGTTGGTCATGTCTTGTCTTGCAGTTCACAGGGGTCTGAAGGTGGTTGGGTGGGTAGCATCGGCCCGTAATGTGGTGCCAAAGTTCACAGTTTAAATGCACAGTCTCACGTGGTTTCCAAAGGCCTTGCAGGACGCCAGAAGCTCCAAAATCAAACTGATTTGCTGTGTGTTGGCGAAACCATGAGCAGGGCATGCCATCCCTGCTTTTTCAAACGGTCCGTGTAGCCCCTTCGTGCTGTGCAAATGCAGCACAGGCCCACCTGCAACTGCCTCACTGGCTTGACCAGCAGTTTTGAGGTCACAGTAACTAGCTCCTGCCCTTAATATATTTCTTAAATAAATGCGCAATAGGGTTTGTCTGGGTTTTTCGGTTTTTTTTTTTTGAACCTATCCCCGAAACACCCTTAACCAAAATATTTCTTGGCCATCCTCTTCCTCTGTGTGCACACA